AGTTCATTCATTGCCATTCTCATGAGCTACTCTGGAGTTGGACAAAGATGCAAATATTGAGTAGCTGAAAGCATGTAAAGCCTTGTTCAAGGCTCTCAAATGCAGCTTTTAAAAAAAGTATTAAATATCTTCTTTCTTGTGAACAGATTGAAGACCAAATTTCCATGTACAGATCACTGCACAAATCCAGGCTATTTGTTAAGTCCAGTCACAGTGCAAAGAAGTATGTGTGGAGAACATGCCAGTGTGAAGGTCTCCATTGAAATTGAAGGATTTCAACTACCAGTTACTTTTACATGTGACGGTAAGTTTTGCTTTGACCGGGAAGAAAATGTTTCAAATGTCAGTATATCCTTTCTTTTCATAAACCAAATTTGTTTTCATTCAGTATCCTTTTAAAACATTTATGTTCATTTGGGAAGTTTTCTGGTTGAGTGAACCAGGTCACAGTAGGACTATTTCTGAGTATAATAAATTGGTTCTTAACTAAACCCCAAAAGCATTAACTATAAAAGCTAATTATAATACTTCCTCTGCTTTTATGGCAAGAAAGTGCTTTCTTACAGAGAGCTATTGGTGACACGAACCTTCAGATCACTTCCTACCCTCTGCAGGGAAGGCAGTTCTCCTTTGGGGTTAACTTTCCCTTCCACACTGGGTATATCCTTTGTAGATCTATGTCCTGGGTGTCTGTAGCAGTTTTCTGTTAGGTTTGTTTTGTTTTTTAAACTACATTGGCTTTCTTTTAGTTTATTTATAGTGTATATTATTTAAGTAGTATTTGAATGTAGAGTAAGTTTTTCGTCTCTAGTAATTTAGCCTAAGACTGAAGCCTTTTTCGTTTTTCTTTAGTGGTTGTAACTAGCAATGTGTCCAGTATTTAAATATCTTCTGGTTTTGTACTTTTAGATAGCCTTTTTAAAAATGTTAATTTGAGTCGGGTGCTGGTGGCACACACCTTTAATCCCAGCCCTTGGAAGGCAGAGGCAGGAGGATCTCTGTGAGTTCGAGGCCAACCTGGTCTACAGAGCGAGTATGGTGACAGGCTCCAAAAGCTACACAGAGAAAGCTTGTCTCGAAAAACAGACAAACAGACAGACAAAAAATGTAAATCTGAAACAAAATGTTAGCCAACTATAACAGTCATGCTTTATTTTCTAAAGGAAAACTTATTCTTTTTAAGTTATTTTAATTTGGTATACAGTAAGAATATTAAATTTCTAAAGTGTCAACAGGTACTTTGCAATAAAGCATGAGTAAAAATTGATAGCAAATGTTGGTTTGCATCAAGTCTTAACTTACATCAAAGTCTGACTGACTTCAGAATGTATTGTCAGTGTCTATTGGTTAGTCATAAATGCATATTTATTATGTATGTCTCTATTAAGTATAACTTGACTAAGGGCATAGGTCAGTGGTACAGTATTTACCTAGTATGAATAAGACCCTATGTTTAATCCTTGGAACTGGAAAAAAAATAAGCATTTTATGATAGAAGTATAGACTATACGATCAAATTATATGATTTTATTTGTTTTGGGTCTGTTCAAAAATAGAATTGTGTTACAAGATATTTTAATGCATAAAAGCTTTTAATGCCAAGTCACCAGTTTCTGTGTATTTTTAAGAGTAGGCTTATTTTTTAAAAATTGAACAGGCTGCCCAGATGGTGGCTCATGCCTGTAATCACAACATTTAGAGACTGAGGCAGGATTGTTATGATATCAAGACTTGCCTGGATTACAGTGTTAGACTCTGAGAAGAAAAAAAAAATAGATAATTTAAAAAATTTTAAACTTTAATTTGCATAGTTGGCTCAGCAGTTAAAAGCACTTGCTGCCCTTTTAGAGGACTCGGTTCAATTCTTAGCACCCACATGGCTGCTCACTGTCTAACAGAACTAATAGAGGCTGTAGAGCCTTTGAAATATGATTTCAACTCAAGTCTCAGGCGATCTTACACTGTCTTCTGACCTCTGCTGGCACAGGCGGGCACATGGTACATGTATATATATGCAGGCAAAACACTCATTTAAAACATATCTAAGAAAAAAATGAAAATTTTCATCTTCTCTTCATCGTCATATTAGTAGCTCAACTTTGCCAAGAGTAAGACTGCCTACTTATTTGCTCTTTTTATTCTTCATTGGAGAATTCACTATACAAATACCTGAAGTAGTAATTCTTTTTTCCTTGTAATTTGTTTTAAGACACTGCTCTCTAGGTATTGCTGACTACTGCCCTATTTGAAGGAGTCCATAATATGGGTGTGTCTTAGGGTTTCTATCGCTGTGAACTCTTATAAAGGAAAGCAGTTAATTGTGGCTAGCTTTCAGCTCAGAGTTTTAGTCTATTCATGTCATGGAAGGAAGCATGACAGTGTGTGGGCAGGCATAACGCTGGAGAACGAGCTAAGAGTTCTATATCTTGATCCCCAAAGAAGCCAGGAAAGACTGTGCACCATACTGGGTGTAGCTTGAGCATATAGTATCTCAAAGCCCACCTTAATGGTGACATACTTTCTCCAACACAGCCACACATCCAAATAGTGCCACTCTTGAGGGTTGTGGTGGTATACACCTTTAATCCCAGGAAAGGGGAAAGGCAGATCTCTATAAATTTGAGGCTAGCCTGGTCTACAGAGTGAGTTACAGAATAGCAAATGCTTTACGCAGACAAACCCTGTCTTGAAAAACAAAACAAACAAAAAAATAGTGCCACTCTATGGGCAAAGCATTCAAACACTGAGTTTGTGGGTGCCATTCCTGTTCAAACTACCGCAGGATGTAACTTTCTTTGTTTAGGCCTTCACTTCTACCAGTTAATAGAGGCTGTGGAACCCTTGAAATATAGCTCATCTGTATTAAATGCTGTAGATCCAGAATACACACTATAAAGTTCAGAGCCTTGGCCCAAAAAATACTGATAATGCTAGCATCATATATCTACATAGTTTATTAAGATAGGGCCTTGTTATATAACCCAGGCTGGACTAAACTTATGATCCTCCTGCCTCTAAACCAATGTTCTTGATACATTAGACTAAATAAAATATATTATTAAAATTAGCTTTGCAAGTTTGGAGTTGTAGATTAGTTGGTAGAGTGCTTGTCTCGAATCCATGAGATAGGCTTGATCCTCAGCACCACATAAACTAGGCATAACAGTGCATACTTGTGATCATAGCATTTGAGATGGAGAAACAGCAGTATCAGAAGTTCAAGATCATCCTCTGCTTTATAGTTCTGGGCCAGCCTGGGCTACATCAAAACCACCCACCCACCCACACACACACACACACACACACATCTTTGCCTTACAGCTTATTTCCAAAATTCGCCTTTCTCTGGCTGTTTTCAGTGTGGCTTGTAGAAAAAATTTAAATGGCTGAGTGTGGTAGTGCACACCTTTAATCCCAGTACTTAGGCAAGAGGCAGAGGTAGATGGATCTCTTGTCTCTTGTTTTCTTCTTCTTTTCCTCCTTCTCCTCCTCTTCTCCTCTTCTTCTTATGTTTTAAAGCCTATGTGTCTGTTCACCATTTTGCATGCCTAATGCCCTTGGAGGCCAGAAGAGGACATCAGATCCTCTAGAGTTACTGATAGTTGGAAATTGTCATGTGGTGCTGGGAACTGAACCTGAGTTCTTTGGAAGAGCAGCCAATGCTCTTAACTGCTGAGCCATCTCTCTAGCCTCTCTGTGAGTTTGAGGCCAATGTGGTCTACATAGTTAAGTTCCAGGCCAGCCAGGGCTATATAGTGAGACCCTGTCTCAAAGAGAAAGAGGCAGAAAAACGGGGGTAGGGAAAGTATGCATTATATTTCTGTTACACAGTCTTCTCTTAGATTATGAGTAATATTTACAGGTAATTGAGCAAACTGAAACTAACTCTCTTTCAGTGAGTTCTGCTGTAGAAATAGTTATAATGCAAGCCCTTTGCTGGGTGCACGATGACTTGAATCAAGTGGATGTTGGCAGCTATGTTCTGAAAGTTTGTGGTCAAGAGGAGGTTCTACAGAAGTAAGTTTATTTACTCATTTATGACTACTGAATGGTGTCTTTGGAAATTTCATTCTTAATGTCTTAAATTAGAATTTTTTTCAATTTAAATTTGTAATCTAAAAATATCTTTGGATATAGCATGGTTTGGCATGCCTTTAATCCCCCACTTGGAGACAGAGGCAGGTGAATCTCTGTGAGTTCAAGGCCAGCCTGGTCTACATAACAAGTTCCAGGCCAGCCAGAGCTACATAATAAGACCCTGTCCCTAAATTCATTCATTTATTTTTTATGTATTTTATATTTATAAAATATAAGAAATATATTTGGTCCTATTGTTGGAACATGTGTTGAGATATAATAGTGGGATTTCAGAAGTAAGAAAGATATGGTATTCTCTTAAGTTTCGTAGCCTTGTACACTAAAAGTTGTAGTCAGTTGGTTAAAAGGGAAATAAAATAACCTTCTAAAAAGTCCGTAATCACATCATTTGTAGATTCTATTCTCCTTTGCAGCATGCAGTTGCTATATATACAGAGTCAACAGTTACTGTCTTTTATTTGCCTGATGTAATCATTGCATGAACTTCAGTAATTTCTAAAGCTTACAATTAGTCCTGTTGTTTTCTATTTCCTTTCATCCTCACTGACGAACATAGAAAAATTTCTGTTTAAATGTTCACAGTTGGCTTTAAAACAATGTGTTTCTCCTTTTTCTTCAATTTTTCATACAGATGCAATTTGTACTTTATTTTTATCTCTTTAACTTGTGATTTGAATAGAATAATACTGATGGATAATTAATGTATTTTAACAGTAATCATTGCCTTGGAAGTCATGAACATATTCAAAATTGTCGTAAATGGGACACAGAGATTAAATTACAACTCTTGACCTTCAGTGCAATGTGCCAGAATCTGGCTCGAACAGTAAGTGTGTATGAATTGCATTTAGTGAATCAGAATAATTTCATTCTGTTTATTTTCCATTTTTTTCTGCACCAGGCTGGGTTGATACATTTGTTGTTTCTAGCAGAAGTCTTCTCAGAAGATCTTTAGTCATGGAAGTTTAGATAGCACATTCCTCAGATCTAGAAGTATAAATTGGAAAAGTAAAATGAAAGAATGAAAGTTTGTCTTTTTTTTTTTTTTAATGGGAAGGAGATAGTCTCCTGTATCTCCGACTGACTTTAAATTCACTATATAGCTAAGGGTCACCTTTGGCCACCCATGACCAGCTTTATGTGGTACTGGATACTGAACTGAGGACTTCATCATCATCCTGAGGACTTGCTACATCCTTAAACCCTTGATTTTTTCTTTTCTTTTCTTTTCTTTCTTTCTTTCTTTCTTTCTTTCTTTCTTTTTTTTTTTTTAGAAAAGGCTAAATTTACTTAGTTCACTGCAATCGTGCAGCAGCCAAGGGCAGTAACAGAAAAACTGCCTGTCCAAGTCTCATATTTAATAGCCTTACACAAGCGTGAAAATTTCAGGGTTAGTTAAGAGGGAACAAAGAAGAAAGGGGTATTGAATACTAAATAAGGGTTTTCAGTTTCTCTTGAATATGTTTGCATAATGTGGAATGTAGGAGAGACTACTTTTCTCATTGGTGGTGAGCAGAGAATGGGACAAAACTTACTGAGGGCAAAAAAAAGCAGAAATTCAAACGATCTTGTCCCCATCTGGTCCCACCCTAGTTTTTACCCAACCTCTTCCTCCATGATTATTTGAAATGGGATCTTGCTTCATAGCTCTGACTTGCCTGAGGTTACTTGTATAGACCATACTGACCTCAAGCTTGTTGCCATACCTGGATTATAGATGTATACCATGTGGCCCAGCTTAGTTTTTCCTTTATTTGATCACCATAAACTAGATTTAAGAACATTTATCTTTTCTATTTTTTAAGAAATTTATTGCATATATTTATTTTTTGTGTGTTTATATATGTAAGTATGCCACAGTATGTGTGTTTAGGTCAGAAGATAACTTGTGAGATTTGATTCTTTCTTTATACCATGTTAGTCCCAAGGATGGAATTCAGGTCATTACGCTTGGGGACAAAGGCCTTTATCCTCTGACCTATATTGTTAGCTCTGTAAAATATGAGTTTATGGCTGCGTAGAGGATTCCAGGGTTAAGAGCACACTGGTTTGTTTTTCCAGAGGACCTAGATTTGATTCCCTGTACCCATGTGATAGCCCACGACCATGTGTAACTTCAGTTCTACAGGAACTGACACCTTCTGATTCTGAGGTCACCAGGCATGCACATGATACACGGATACACATGAAGGCAAAACACCCATACATACAAAATAAAATTGTAAAAATAGAAGTTTTGGTCAGATTTGATGATATGCTTCTATAATCCCAGCAAAAAGACAAGGGTCAAGAATTCAAGGCCAGTCTGAGCTACATGAGACCCTCTCTTTAAAATTAAAGGGTGCTGGAGACAGGGTGGAGGAAGTTGGCAATAACTCAATGGATAAAGTGCTTGAGGGCTTGAGTTGGAGCCCCAGTACCTGTAAAAAGCTGGGTATGACAGAGTGTTTCCATAATCCTAGCACTAGGGAGAAAAACACTGACAGATCTCCCAAACTGGCTGACTAGCCAGTATAGCCATTTTATTAGCTCATAGTTCAGTGAGGGAGCCTGTCCTTTCTCAGAACACAGCTGGAGAGCAATAGCAGAAGACGAAATACATTGACTTCTGACCTCTGTATGTACACACACCCTAGTACACACATATGCAAAATAATGTAACACTTAAAGATTTATTTATTTCTATTTTTATGTACTTGAGTGTTTACTTTGTGTATGTATATGTACCCCATGCATACTTAGTGTCCATGGAAGCCAGAACTGGCTATCACATCCCTTGGAACTGGAATTACAGATGATTGTGAGCTACCAAGTGGGTCCTAGGAACCAAATCCAAGTCTTCTGCAACAACAGCAAGTACTCTTAATCTCTGAGCCATCTTCCCAGCCCCAAATAATGAAACATTTAAAACAAAATGAATTTTTCGTACTATTGATTAACTTTTTAGTCAGTTAAATAGTTGTTTAGATAGCATTATGTCTCCAGTTCTCAAAAATTAGTCGAAAGATTTCATCATTTATTTAACTTACTTACTTTAATTGAATGACCAAAGAATTATATTTGATTATTCTTCAACCTGTGTGTATGTGTTTATTTAGGCAGAAGATGATGAAGCACCTGTGGATTTAAACGAATTCTTGAATCAAATAGAAAAACCTTATAAAGAAGTCATGACAAGGTATAGCATTTAAAGTATCTATTGCAAGTTTTCAAACTTTGTTTTGGATGTAAATATATTTATTTTCTGTGATCAAAGCAACTGTTGTTATTAAAAATATAATACCTGTTTCTCATTTCAGACACCCTGTTGAAGAACTCTTAGATTCCTATCACAACCAAGTGGAACTGGCTCTTCAAACTGAAGTAAGTTTTGGCATGGGGACTTAAAGATTGTTTCTGTTTTCTCTGAAATACTAGTTTTAGAATTAAATGTTTTAAAACTATATTCTTGGTGTTAGCCACCCACATGGCAGTGGGTGACGGGTAGTGAGAGCTTTAGAGAAAGAGAAAGTCCAAAGCATACTTAGGCTTTAGTCAGCATATAAAAGAAGTGGTCAAAAGAGAAGACAAAGCAATAGTTAATACCTTTCCAAGTTCTGACCTAGAAAAGCAGTCAGACCTGGAGGAATCAGGCACATAGGAACTGTCTGGTAACTCTTAAACAGTTAGCTTAAAAAAGAGTTGAGAAGAACCTGTAAACAGAAGTGTATATACATGATACATGGAAGTAAGCAGTTCTGTAATAGTATGTAAGTGTGAAATGAAGTGTTTAGGAAGGGTGCTGAAGAGAGGGCTTATTGGTTAAGAGCACTGGCTGCTTGCTTTTGATTTGCTGGATTTGATTCCCAGGACTCACATAGTGGCTCACTATGTAACTCCAGTCTCAGGATACCTTGCACCTTTTTCTGGCTTTCTTGGGTACCAGGCATGCAAGTGATACACAGACATACATGCAGGCAAAATACCCATATACATAATTTAAAAAAAAAAGGTAAGGGTACAGTGTTAGAAATGACTAGACATAAGTTACTACCTTATAGTTCATATTAAGGAGTTTCTCTCTATTCTGAGTTAGAGGACCATACTTAGTTTAATTTCTGAGTTTGTAAATAATTTTTTTTTTACCCACCAAACCTATTTGATGTCATTTTTGCTTTATATTCCAATATTAGCGTCTACTAGGGCTGGAGAGATGACTCAACAGTTAAGAGCACTGCTTGCTCTTCCAAAGGTCCTGAGTTCAATTCCCAGCAACTACATGGTGACTCACGATCATCTGTAATAAGATATGGTGTCCTCTTGAGGAAGAGTTGTCCTCATCAACTTAGATCATGAAACCCAATATGAACAGGTTCAACAGAACTGCCATATATGGGCTGCCCATACATGCTTTAGCATTACCAGGGCATAAATTTCATTTTTTGTTTCAGTTAGAATGTACACTTTATTTCCTGAAAAACCTAAACTATTTTAAGTTTTTAAAAATTTATTTTATGTCTGTGAGTGTTTTGCCTTACATGTACGTGTACCATTTACATGCCTGGTGCCTTCAGAAATCAAAAGAAGACATCTGGTTCCCTGGAACTGGAGTTACAGACAGTTATGAGCCACCTTGTGGATTCAGGGAAATAAACTCAGGTACTCTGCAAGAGCAAGTGGTCTTAACCACAGAACCATCTCTTTAGCCCCTTATTATTTGATCCCTTATAGAAAAAGTTAGCTGATCTTTTACAGAATATTGGATCTAGCTACTTAAGATGTTTTTAGCCAGACTCAGACTATGGGAATTGTTTAGCCCTGTCTTCTGAAGTTAACTTGAACATAATGTAGAGGTTAGGTATAAAACTGGCAGAATTGATTTCAAAGGGAAAGATTTTTGTAACAATTCAGGTAAAAGATAAGCATTATGACTGCTACAGAGAAAGCTGATTAGTAATACTTGGAGACAAAATTGATTAAGAGTTAGCAGGACATGAGAGATAGAAATGTAAAATGAACAGATTGCTAATTACTAGTACATTTTTTCCCGTGTGGGTATATTTAGGTATGCACATGTCACAACACACTAAGAGGACAACTTGCAGGAGTTGGTTCTCTCCTACCATGTGTGTTCCTGAGATTGAACTAAAGTCTTATGTCAGGATTAGCAGTGAGTTCCTTTACCTACTGAGTTATCTTGCCAGCTCTACTACTAGTATATTCTTATCAACATATAGAAATACTGAGTATTACATCCTGAGACAATATTGACACACTGAACCCTCTGAGACAGTGAACCCAAATAATTACCTTCCTTAAGCTGTTTCTGTCAGCTCTTTAGTCGCAGTGACAAAGAAAGTAGCTAATTTGGATGTCTGAGATAGCTTTAACTATCCAAAAGAGACACTGAGTGAGTAGTTGATATGAATCTGGAATTTAATGCAAGAGGTCCAAGTAGAGATACTACACTTGGGAACTATCAGAGTATAAATGATATCTTACAGCTATAAGATTAGTTGAATTACCTCCCCTCCACCCCAATGTGAGCGGCCAGCTTTTTGGGGTTTCTGTCCCGCCCGGTACCCCACAGCGGGCAAGTCCCAAAGAAAATCACAAAGAGTCTACATTAGGTTATAAACTGATTGGCCCATTAGCTCAGTCTTCTTATTAGCTCTTGTAGCTTATATTAACCCATTGTTCTTATCTATGCTAGCCACACGACTCAGTACCCCCACAGCTGGGCAGTTTACATCTTGCCTCTTCAGTGATCTGGGCAGAACTGCGAAGGGAGCTTACTGCTTCCCAGAATACTCCCGTTCTCTTTACTTCCTGTCTGGTTTTCCCACCTATACTTCCTGCCTGGCCAATCAGCATTTATTTAAAATATGATTGACAGAATACAGAAAATTCTCCCGCACCACCACCACCCCCCTTCCCGCAAAAAAAAAAAAAAAATCATTGCAAGACAAGAGTTACCTCATCAGGTAAGACTCATCTGGTAAGACAATGACTGCTTTTGTAGAGGACCTGGGTTTGACTCCCAGCACCCACATGGCAGCTCATATCCATCTGTAACTCCAGTTCCAAGGGATCTGATGGCCTCTTCTGGCATTCTTGGGTACTAGGCACACATGTAGTGCTCAGATATACATGCATGCACGAATGCATACATACATATACACACACACATATAATGAGAATCTGTGATCCTGTTGTCATCCACACCACTTCTCTATTCTCTTTGCAACAAAACTGAAAGTATGTAGTTTTGCTACTTCTCTTCCTTTTCCTATTCTCTTAGGTATCCACTCCAACTATGCCTTCCATCACTCCTTTAAAAAAAAACATTTTAGTTGTTTCTTCTGTAAATGGACAAGGATATGTCTGTAAGTATGCATGTGGAAGTTAGAATACACTTGAAGGAGTCGCTTTTCTCCTTTTATCATGTGGATTCCAAGAATCAAACTCAGCTTATCAGACTTGGTGGCAATCACCTTTGCCTGCTCAGCTAATCTTGCTGGCCCATTACTAACACTTAAATGAAACTGTACTTAAGGTCATCAGACATGTACATAATCCCAATCTAGTAGTACTTATTTTTTTTTCCTAGTCTTTCTGTAGATTTGTTTACACCTGCTTTTTTTTAAGATTTATTTATTTTGGTGAATTTTGTTTTCTTTTGAGACAAAGTCATGATATGTACCTTGGCTGGACTAGAACTTTCTATATAGACCAGATTAGCCTCAACCTCATAAGAGGTCCATATGCCTCTGCTGCTCAAATGGGATTAAAGGTGTGTTCCACCATGCCTGGCAAAAATTTGTCTGTCTGTCTGTCTGTCTGTCTGTCTATCTACCTACCTACCTACTTACCTACCTATCTACTTGTTTGTTTGTTTGGTGTTTCAAGACAGGGTCCCTTTGACACGTGTAAACTTGTATGTATGGTGCCAATGGAAGCCAGAAAAGGGCACCAAATATCCTGTAACTGAAGTTATTTACTGTTATGAGCTACCATGTTGGTGCTGGGGAGGGTGTGTCCTCTACAAAAGCAGCAGGTGTTCTTAATCTGATCATCTCTCTAGCACTTTAAGTAACTTTTACATACACACACACACACACACATACACAAATTGGAAGGGGCTGTGTAGGCATGCCTGTGTGGAAGTTAGAAGACAACTTGGGTAATTAGTTCTCTCCTTCCACCATATGGCCATGTGGGTCCTGGGGACTATACTCAGATTGTCAGGCTTGACAGCAAGTGATTTTACCACTGAGCCATCTCTGGGGGTGGGAATGGGGAGAATACGAATATGTGTGTTTACACATGCACAGTACACAAGAGGTCAAACTGCTGAATTTTTTCCCCCATTCCATCATGTGAATTTGGGGCACTGTACTTGAATTATTAGGCTTGACTTTAAATACCTTTACCCACTAGGATATCTCAATGACCCAAGACTATACTTTAGGAGAAGTTTTGGATTCAGAGCAAAATGAGAAAATAGCCCATATATACACCCCCTGGTACTACCCAGATGTAGCCTCCTCATTTTAAAAATTACTATTATTATTTTGCCTTAATAAATAGTAACTCTGTTCTCCTGTTTGCTCAGGCTAAAATCTTGGTTTTATCCTAGACCTTTTAAGAAAAAAGATCTTTCATCTTCCATATTAAACCTAATTCTTACCATCTCTGCCATGAAAACAAATGGAGAATGTGACTATTATCATTCCTAAGTCAGTTGTGTTATTCTTTACTAGTCTTCCAAATTCTTTGCTTTTCCTTCTGTAACCCCACCCCCCAGGCAACCAAAATGATACTTTAAAAATAACTCACTAAATGATGTGTCCTGGGTCATATCCTGGAACAGAGCAGGAAAGGGAGTTAGTGGAAGCACTGGCACGGCTGATTGTGTGCCACGGCTCCAGTCTTCGTTGTGTCAAATGGATCGTGGTTATGCAAGCTGCTGCTTAACTGGTTTGTATGGGAACACGCTGTACTATTTTTGTAACTTCCTACAATTCTAAAATTATTCCAAATGAAAAGTTTACTTTAAAAGTGAAATAGGAACAGAAAGCAGATGTCAAATTAAAAAAAAATACAAAAAAGAACTTTTAGAACCAGGTAGATGTGTAGTAGAACACATTTTTAATCCCAGTACTTAGGAAGCAGAGGCAGGTGGATCTCTTGAGTTTAAAGCCAACCTGTTCTACATAGTGTGTTCCAGGAGAACGAGATCTTGTCTTCACAAAAAGATAATTAAGAATTATAAATTGTGTTGGGCAGTGGTGGTGCATGCCTTTAATCCCAGCACTCGGGAGGTAGAGGACAGCCTGGTCTACAGGGTGAGTTCCAAGACAGTCTCCAAAGCTACACAGAGAAATCCTGACTCGGAAAAACAAACAAAAAATTAACAGTAAAGCAAAGTGAGCTCTTAAACTAGTTTAAAGTTACTGTTGAGGCTCAGCTGGCCTTGAACTTGTGAACCTCCCTCCTCAGCTTCCTATATCCTAGTATTTCATCTAAAACCTAACTGTTTGGAGTGCCAAGGTGTGCTCCCCAGCAGGGAGCCTGGGACCTGTACTCTCTAGTGCTCTTCCCTTAGGTATTTGCCTGGCTTTCCCTTCCTTAAGTACTTAAATGTTATCACGGTGCATTCCACTGACCTCTTTGTCTAAAATAGCAACTCTATCGCTTATTCTCCTTTAAAGTTTAATTGAAGTATTGTTTGTTTGCTTTAAGACAGTGTCTTCCTATTTAACCTAGCCTGGCCTCAAATTTTTTTTTGTTTTGTTTTTCAAGACAGGGTTTCGCTGTAGTTTAGAACCTGTCCTGGAACTAACTCTTGTAGGCCAGTCTGGCCTTGAATTCACAAAGATCCACCTGCCTCTGCCTCCAGAGTGCTGGAATTAAAGGCGTGGCACCACCACCACCCAACCTGGCCTCAAATTTGCTGTATAGTTTAGGCTATGGAATTTAGAATTCTCTGGCCTCAGGCTTCCCACATGCTAGGATTATAGGTAGATGCCCATAATATATTATACTCACTCACCTTAAGTATAATTTATTTTCCTTTAATCTGCCTTTTCCCTGTGTGATGGGGTCTCATTCAGCTCAGGCTGACCTTGAGCTGCTGTGTTGCCTAGGCTGACCTTGAGTTCTTGATCTTCCTGAGTGCAGGCATTATTAGGCGTGTACCAGCATTCAGAGACTTACCAAATTCCCAGAGCTCTACCAGCATCACCCAGTCCGGTTTTAGAGCATTTTCATGTATAGTTTGCAGTTGACCCTCCTTCCAGCTCTAGCTTCAAATAATCGCTGAGCCAGTTCCTGTCTCTTTCATGATTTCCTCTTTTGCGTGTTTCCTGTAAATGGAATATAGTGATTTTTCTGTCTGTTTTACTTTTTTCAAATACTAAACCATTTAATCTTTTATGGTTTGTACCTTAAAAAATTTTTTTGACATTGTGTGGTATGTGTGTGTGTGTGTATATATATATATATATATTGTGTGTGTGTGTGTGTATACACACTTAATTTGTGTGTGTGTGTTGGTTTGAAAGAAAATGGCTCCCAAACAAGGTGGCACTATTTGAAGGTATGGCCTTATTGGAGGAAATGTGTCATTGAGGCTTTGAGGTCTCATATATGCTCAAGACATGCCCAGTATTGGAACTCACTTTCCATGGCCTATGAATCAAAGATGTAGAATTCTTAGCTCCTTCTCCAGCACCATGTCTGCCTGAACACGCCATGTCCCACCATCATGATAACGGACTGAACTTCTAACTGTAAACCACCCAATTAAATGTTCTCCTTTATAAGAGTTGTCGTGGCCATAGTGTCTGTGTATATTTCTTAGAACTGAAATTACAGTGGTTGGGAGCCACCTCACATAGGTGCTGTGAACCACACTGAGGACCTCTGCAAGAGCACTTTCTTAACCCCTGAGCCATCTGCTCTACAGCCCTACATCCAGCTTTTCACATGGATGCTAAAGATCCAAACTCAGGTCCTTATGTTTGCTCAACAGACTTTACCAACTTAGCCATCTCCCTAGTCCTACCAGTGGTTCCTTTTTATTGAATACTAGTCCATTGAATGGCTATAGCACATTTCATCTATACATCCAATAGTGTATATCTGGGCTTAAGTTAATAAATTGGTTATCATGAATTATGTTGACATAATGAGATATATATATTCCTAGTTTTTGTATAGATTAATGTTTTACAGAAATTTTTAATTTTCTTGACTTTATTTTTCTAGAAATACTCTGTAAAATACTCTGCTAAAGTGGCAATATGGGCCTTGAGAAAAGAAATAATGGCTTGTAATACTCTAAGGGAATGCTGGGACTGGAGAGATGACTCAGCAGTTAAGAGTATGTATTGCTCTTATAGAAGACCTAAGTTTGGTTCTCAGCATTTATATGGAATGACTCACAACCATCTGTAACTCCAACTCCAAGGAGATCCATGTACTTCAGAAAGCAGCCAAACTCATATTTGGTGCTGGCAGTATGACTGTTCTGTGTAAACTTAAAATAGAAATTCAGATAAATACCCAGAACAAAAGTATACCATGCTATGGAGAACTGACCACCTATCTGTACTAATGTTTATCAGTCACTGACCAGTCAAGGCAGTATACTATATTGGATTGTTTTGTTTTTGAGTTGAGGTCTCATTTAGCTCCAGTTGCCTGAACTTGAATTCTTGCTCTTTCGTGCCTCCTCCTTCTAAGTATTGAAACTACAGACTTGCATGCACATATGTATACACACAATTGAAACCAGAGTGACACATGCTGACACTTGACCAGAACTATATTACTAGCCTCTGTGCTGGCTGCTTGATAAGAAATCTAAATAATCATTAGTGAATGGGCAAAAGATGGTTTGTTCTTTTTAGTAAAAAGATTCTTTTCCTTTAAAAAAATAAACTTTAATTATTATTTATTTTATGTGTACAGATGTTTTGCCTGCTTCAGTGTCTTTTCAGTGTTTGCATGCCTGGTGCCTTCCAGCAGAGGCTGGAAAGGAGTGTTGGATCCCCTGGGACTGGGGTTATAGACAGTTGTAAGCTGCCACATGGATACCAGGAATCAAATTCAGGTCCTATAGAAGAGCATCCAGTGCTCTTAACTGTAGTGCCATCTCTCCATCTCATAAAAGAGGATTTAAAGCAAAAATTGACATCTGATAGTTCACATACCAAATTTAACCTACTGCCTGTTTTCGTAAAGTTTTTGTCTCTTATTTATTGTCTGTCTTCACCCTTAAAAGGCTAGAATTGAATCTCACCAGAGAATGACTCACAAAATATAAAATATTTACTTAACTAATATTTGTTTGTTTTGTGTGTGTGTATTTTGATTTTGAGACAGTCTCAGTATTGCCACCTCAGACTTTTAAGTCACTGTTATTATAGATGTTGTCTTAGTTAGGGTTTTTATTGCTGTAAAGAGACACCATGACCACAGCAACTCTTATAAAGTTTAAACATTTAGTTGGGGTGGCTTGCTTACAGTTTCATAAGTTCAGTTCATTATCATCATGGTAGGAAGTATGGTGGTGTGCAGGCAGACACGGTGTGGGAAAATAGCCGAGTCCTACATCTTGCAGGCAACAGGAAATCGACTGATAGTCACACTGAAGGAAATTTGAACACAGAGACCTCAAATCCTGCCCCCACAGTGACACACTTCCTCCAACAAGGCCACACCTCCTAAAAGGCCACTTTCTTTGGGGGACCACACAGATGTGTATGTATCACCATACCTGACAATTAATGACTTTGAGTGTGGCAGTAGTAGGGGGCAGGGTTTTCCTGTCCTTGCTATATAGGCCTGGATGGCCCAGAACTCACTGTATAGACCAGGATGACCTCAGATTTTTCACTCTTACATTTACTTCCTAAGTACTGGTATTACAGATAGATGTTACCACACCTAGATACTTTGTTTTTGTTTTTAAGAAAATTTGCTGGTCTTTATTTAAGAAGGACTCAGAGGTTGCAGATGTGAAAAAGCAATTGCCATGACTAGGCTGTAGAGAAATGAACAGTTTAGGACATAATGACTTCTCATAAACCTTCTCCCAAGACTGAACTTTAGCATATGGCTACCACAGGAGGATAGAGGCTGCCCATGGTAAAGAAACTTCCCAAAAAAATTTTAGCCAAAGTGGCCTAAGGGTACAGGTAGGGCTAGTCTTTGAGAACCACTGAGTTCTCCTAGTAAATTGAAAAGAAAGGAATAAATGCATACAGGACTGGAACCTAGCCCTGTTGCTTTTTGTTGCTTTTTTTGGTTAAAGTGTCCTTTTAGTGCCCTCTAGTGCCAAAAAAAAATGTTACTGTGAGTTTAGTTCTGGCTCTACAAAGAGCAAAAGAAGGGTGGATTTAGAACTGTTAGACTATACACTAGTTCATCACATGTTAAGAGTAATGGAGAATAGTGCAAGACATTGTTACAAACCTTCAGATTGGAAAGTTTTTGCATGAAGGTGAGTTAAAAGAAGCAGAAATATAAATTAGATATCTAAAAAGGGGGGACTTGAAAGCTGATCTTCAGTTCAGGCCCTGAGAACTGCACCATAATTGGCTATTTAAGAAAATGAGATGGTTTCACTTAAGCTTGAAGGTAAAAGAAGCATTTGGCTTATGATAGCCAAGCCTCAAGAATAGAAAAATATACTAAAAGGGAAGATCCTGAGCTTAGTTGCAGCCTTTCATAGTTCTTGCCATAAAAGTGTAGCATGAATGTTCTGTGAATCTTTAAGCTGTGTATAGTGCACAATCACAGTAATAAAGGAGGAAAACGGAGAATTCCCCTGAGCTTATAAATTTGAGAAGAGCGTAGGCGATACAGTGAGTCTCTGTCTAAGAGAAGGGAGAGGGACATATGAATGCTTCTGTTGCTCAA